CGTAAGCGATAGCAATGCCACTCACTGTGAGCAGAATAAAAGTAACCCGGCTTATATCAAGCAGAAGGTGAGAAGCGGGGAAACAAATAACAATTGAAAATAAACTGGCAGCCGTTAGGTGCTGTCTCAGCATAAGGTCCTTTTATACAACCTTACTTAACCTTTTATATATAGAAAAGCAGGAGTTTTGTAAACTGCTGTCACTTTACTGTCTCATTGCTCTTCTGTACTGCTGTAGGTACTTCTAGTACTTTAAAGACAAAGAATTGTCTCCAGGAAGATGCTGAGGTAAATTCATATTTTAATGAGGCTGAAAATCATCTGGTTGAGCCCAAATTGGCATGAGCCTTGATGTTAAAACAGGTACCACTGATGGCTCCTCCTTCCAGTAACAGTCATGCATGTGTTTATGAGCCATCAGTTGTCTCTGTGACTTCTAGTGTAAAATTTAGCAAATGTCCTGGAATTTTCAGGAATAAGATCTATTTTGGAATACATTTATTTCACAGAAATTACAAGAATGAAGAATTGGGGAGATTAAAATAAAAAAAATAGTAATTTTAAAATATGAAAAGAATTTTAGCTGATCTTTGCACAATCAGATATAATTGATGAGTTACCATTCAGAGTGCTAGACTGCCTTGTTGAAATCCAAAGCCCTCAAGATAACAGCATCCCATGGCCAATTAAAGTTTTAGCACTTTTTCATAGTTCAGCATGCTGGGTAGCTAGTTGTTGATTGGAATCTCTTCCGTTGCACCTCCAGTGCAGTTTTAATGCTATGCTTAAGCAGAGCTAACTATGGGCTGGCAGCAGAAGAGATGATTATACTGTGTTTTCCTTTCCACTCTCCTCCTGTTGCTGCTCCCCATGTGTTGTATCTTGCAGTTCTGCAGTTACAGGTTACAGTTTGGATTTGATCGGGGAACTGAGACGAGAGAAAGCTCATCTCTTTTTTTTTTTCAGTTGTTTACTTTTTGAGTGTTGTTTTTTTTCTGAAGCAATGCACTGCTCTGACATGCTCTGTAGGCACATGATGGCTGTATCTAACATGAGGATGGCAGAAGGAACACATTTCCCGAAGAGGTATGATAGAACCATCCTTGGCAACAACAGTTGTCAGTTGAGTTGGATTAAGTGGAACATGAAACCACTGTAGGGTCAGAAAAGTAGAAGACTTGGACTGTAAATTACACAGAAGATGGAGTTATGGAAACAGTCAGCTGGCATTCTCCTGTGCTGCTGAAAAGGGGTCGCTTGAAAATTTTTGTTCACATCCCAGATTTGAAGCTCTGATGTGCTACATATGCCCAAGACTGAACACCTGAGTTTATCTACTTCATTTATCATATATGAAAGAATTTTTTAATGATGTATGTTTCCATTGAAGATGATCAAAGAAATAATTCAGGATTTTTAGTGTGGAGTAAGTTCTTCCTCATGTGACAGAAGCTGGTCTTAGTAGAAAGGATGTGAAAGTAAAAAGGTTGATAGAATTGTAGTCCAGCATGCCTTCTGGGCTGACCCATCAGCCAAGGAAGGTAATGTATGCCACCCATTGGTATTAATTTGGAGATAATAACCAAGTATTGTCTGAGTAATGCTTGTATTATTGTAATGCTCCTTTAGTATTGGCTCCCATTTGGTGCTGTGTGGGGACATTTTGTCATACCGTGTCATGTGTCAAACAATGGAAGGAGCAACTGTAAGAAAACCATAAGTGGTGTGTACAGTTCTAGTCACAGAGCCCACCAAGAAACCTACATTTAACTAACATTTCTGCACTTTGCATTTGCTGGAAATCCCACAAATTCAACTGGATTTTTTTTTTTTTCAAAACACTGAAGCAGAGTGCTTAATTTCAGCTGAAGTTTAGATAGCATCTGTGATTGATGTGGTGGTGAATTCACACATTACAGGGTTTTTGGCGTAAAGGATACAAAGTACAATTAACTTGGTATTTGAGAACACGAATCCTTCAAGACAGTAGTTGAATAATGGCCAATAGAACTTCTTTGTTTCCCTTCCCGGCCAAATTTCCATTCCCTCTATTTCAGTGGTTGCCAGCAGGGCATGAGCTTTTGAACAGTTACGCTCTTGTCTGGGTGCCTTGCCTGCATTTCTGATACCACACTTGTTACCGTAGTATAAGAATGTGAAATGCTCAAAACACCCATTAATTTCAGTGAAACCCAGTCTCTGTGCTGAGCAATAATCCTGTGTATGGGGAAGAGAGCAGATCCAGTAACACAGTTCCAAACCATTTGCTGAGTATATGTGAAGTAGGTGTTCTGGATTTTCCAAGACCATCCTGCCTGACTTATGTTTACAGATGCTGTAAATTTTGCTGTCAAGAGTGTTCTCAGCAGGCCCTGTTTGGCATTAACTTTTAGAAGAACACTTCCCTTAACAGTTAGTTTAGAATAAGTCCTTGCATTCTGAGAATGAAGAAACTTTTTACTAATCTCACCTATTTCAAAGGAAAATGTAAAAGTTTAAATAAAAAACACTTGGAGCCTGCAATAAAGTTGAGTATAGTTCAAAACAGATAGTCTTTGCAGCATTTAGATTAATTATTTCTTACAATTTGAAGGAAATCAGTAATTTTTATAATTAAATTAGTTCAAAGGTAATTTGAATACAAGCTGAAGCATTCCAGTCACTGGCTTGGATAATTCTTTCTTTTTTTAGCTCAGAAAGAGCTATATTATTAATGATTAAACATTATTTATCATCCAGGTTATTTATTACCCAATCCATGTGTTTTAATTTCCTACTCAGTAATATTTTTTAATTTTATGAGCCTGTCAGTTTATTATGTCCTGTACCTTGTTCAGCCTAAGGCACTACACTTCTCTGTGAATTTAATCCTTATATAAGTGAATTGCTTTTTCATTTTCATTCTTTATTTTTGAAATCTGTGATTTTAAGAATTATTTCTGCTTACCATGAGTATTTTTTTAAGAGTAGAGTGAATCTCCAGATTAAAATTTCATTTGTGGTATCTGGATGTGTAGCCATGTTCTTTGTGTTGCAGACCTACTTCCAAAACAATTAAATCAAAGTCTTTGTTGTCTTATTCCTCCAGTTTAACACTTCATTATGGTTGGTCAATAATATTTGTATTGTATGGTTAATGGAGTTTGAGATGATGTATAACATGTAGTTTTGTTTCTAAGGTGTTAAGCATTTCTTTGACGCTCATGTCTTTGAACCTGATGATCCTAGTAAAGAAGCAATGTCTACAACTACATTGAGTTCTCTTTGTCAGCAGAGGAGGAGTTAAAGATCAGAATATAATTTTCCATCTCAGTTTGTTCAGTCTTCATGGTTTTGAGCCTTCCAGGGTAACTACAGTTTGGGCTAGTGGACAGGACATCATGAATCCTAAGGTAGACAAGACACCATAAAGGAACGGAGTAAAAGACTCCAGAGTGCTGGGAATCTTAAGGGCTTTCCTTGAGGGCCTCAGGATCAGTTGAATTTTCCTCTTGAAAGAAAAATTGGTATCTTGTAAACAAAGAGATTGAACTAGAAACTTGTGGTCTTTGCCTGTAAATACAAATATGAATTTATAAAGCATTCAGCAGCTTTTAAAATTGCCCAAAGTACGTTCCTACAGATTATATATCCTTATATTTTTTTACAATGTATTATAGTATTGACAATGATTTTTGTTTTCTCTTTGCAGGAAGTTCAAGAAAAAGCGTCTGTTTTTAGTATGCAGTTGGACTTAACCGGGGCAGTTCCCAGCCTTATAGTTGCCTTTGTCATTGTAGCTAACGGGGATCGCCAGGGACGCAAAAGGTCTTTAGTTTTACCATCAATGGGAGCTTTGATTGCTGGTATCTGCCTCACCATAATATCATATTTTTCCTTGTCACTCTCTGTCCTGTTTGCGGTTGCATTTATTACTGGACTGTTTGGGAGTATGGCAACTTTCCTTGGAGGAGGCTTTGCTTTTATAGCAGATGTGTGTCACGATGAGAAGCAGAAGACAACGCGAATAGCTGCGGTGGATTTGATTTTTGGAGTTGTATCTGGAGTGGCAGGACTATTATCTGGCTACTTTCTAAGAGGAATAGGCTTTACATGGACATTTGTGACAGCATCTCTGCTTCATCTCATTAATATTATCTATATTACATTTTTTCTGGAAGATCCAGTAGGCATATCTGAATTCCAGCACCAGGCACCAGCGTCTTATAAAGAACTGCTGAGAGAGACATTTTGTGGCGTGTACATGCTTTTTAAAACTGCCCCTTACAAAAAGAGAATTTTAATCATTGTGTTACTTTTTACATTTATGACTTATCTGTTTACTACGCTTGGTGGGAGTTCACTTTTTACACTGTATGAACTGGATGAGCCACTCTGCTGGAATGAAGTATACATTGGATATGGAGCAGCTGCATTCACGTCTGTCTCTCTGACCAGTTTTTTAGGAGTTTACTTATTTTCTAAATGTCTCAAAGACATTTATATTGTCTTTATTGGGATATTTTCTTACATTGGAGGAATGGTCATGGCTGCCTTTGCCAAAACTACCCTGCTCATGTTTTTAGGTGAGTTCCGAATTAGTCATTCCATGGTCAAGAATATATATGAAAATATTGCTGTTATCTGTAGTGACTGCAGTTGGTAGATACTGGATGAACCATCCTGAAAGGGTCATAGGTAAAATATACAAGGTTGGGTCAGACTGATTTAGGAGTTAATTAAAAGATGAAGTGTGTGGAGAGTGAATGGAATTAACTTGCTTGTGATTTGATTTTAGTGCAACACAGATATGTTTGATTTAATAATTTCTCCGTGCTTGGATAATTGTGTCTCAGTGCACTTCCAGTTTAATTTTTCTATTGTCTTTTACTGTTTGGGGAACTGAGCATTCAAAGTACGTGACTAATGTAAAATCCCAGTGTTGTATTACTTCAGTGTCTCCTGACTGATTCATTGCTTTACAGTAAGAGTGCCATCTTTGCTCTGCTTTATGCCTATTCCTGTTCTCCGATCCATGCTGTCAAAAGTGGTTCGCGCTGATGAACAGGGTGAGTAGAATTTGTTTTTAAACAGTACAATAATACGGTATTTCAGAACAGAGATGCACCAAGATTACCTTTAAACAAACAGATACATATTGGTATTTTAAGACTACTTTTCTTTAAAGTTTCATATAATATGACTCTATGTCACGACATTAATGGCTTTTGATTCTGAATTTAATATAAACAACATTGTGTTTAAAAAACTACCACAAGTTTCAAACTTCAAAGAAGATGCTGCTCTAAAAAAAAGACCATAGTGGACTTGAAGCAGAGAAATGCTCAAGATGGACACAAATGTGATTTCACAAGTTCTTCCACATTAACAAGATTTTAACGTGCAGAGAAAGATATGTATCTGTTATTTAGTCAGTGCCTCACTTAATAACTTAGAAATTAAGCGGTAGGTGGTCAACCTTCAAAGTACTTCAAAACAATTAAAGACTTGGATCCTGAACACCCGGCTTCATGGGTGCCTGTGGCTACTTAAACACGTCCAAAAAGACTTTACTTCCCAAAGTGCTTTCCATATGGCTCTAGTATCCCATATTTTGCTGTAACCAGTTTTTTGGGAGCATATGTTTTCTAGAAGCATTTGCCCAAGTTGTTTGGTTTTATTTTTCAAAAGATATCTTGATACACTGAAACAAAGATCTCTTTGTACTGAACTATACTTACACACACCTCTGTTTTTGTAGTTTCTTGGCATTCTTCAGGGCTTTAGCTATTTGAGTAATCTGATGCAGGAATCAGATTGCCTCTTGTCATCCTTTCCTGCTTACCTGTTGTTATTTTGTTTATGGTCCCATGAATATGAATGCAGCTTGGGAAAATGTGCTCTGACACTGATGGGATAGCCTGCCACCCCAGTGGGTGGTTCATTGCAAAGAAGGTTGCTTCTTTCCTTTCAAAAATGAGGAGGTGGTTATGTGCTGAACAAGTAGTCTTTGTTGGATCAGAGCCTTTTCTGCATGTAAGGGTGAAGATTAGAGAGGAAGAAAAACAAAACGGAAGAGTGAAAATCAAGAGGCGAATTGGAATGGGATAGAGATGTGCAGAACATGATTAGTGAGGACAAACAGTTTGAACTTCATGTGATAAGCAGGTTCAACAAAGTAGGTGTGGTGATAGAACAGCAGCACAGAAGAATAGTTTCCATGAACAAAATGTTGTGGTTTTTTTCATTTAAAAACCCATTATTTTGGAGAAGTCCCCACAGAGGAGACTTTCTTAGCAAACACTTATTACTTGCATACTTGCTAAAATACTGCAGATAGATCTTTCAAAACAAGTTTAAAAACTTTAGTACTTTGAGATGGGTTTGGTTTTATTTTCTTTTGTTTGTAATCCACCCATTTGTTTTTGGCAGGTGCTGTGTTTGCTTGTATTGCCTGTTTAGAAGTTGTGACCGGCACTATTGCACTTTCAGTTTTTAACATTCTCTATGCAGCTACTGTTGCATGGTTTTCAGGCTTTAGCTTCCTCTTATCAGCAGGCCTTTGTCTAATTCCACTGGCTGTCCTGTGGTAAGTACAGGTCAGGAGGGTGCTTCTGACTGCTTTTACTGGTAATTTCTGTTTTGACATGAGTTAAAGTGGAATGGTTTAGTGCAGTAGTTCTCAAACGTCAGTATTTTCTAGTGTGCTGGGTTTATTTTGTGTGCAGCCTTCCCTCCAGCTTCCACCCAGTTCAGGAACTGCTTATATCTAGCAAGCCTATAGAAGGTACAGGGGGCTGCTAGGAGTAGGGCAGAGCTGAAATGAGGGGACATGACAATGTCTTCCCCAGGGGGATCAGATAGGAGAGAGGGAACCCAGGCTATGGGGGGCTGCTTTCTCTCAATGAGGCTTGTGACCAGTCTTTGAGAGGAGTGGCTCCGCAGCTGCTGCTAGCTGCAGTTTCCTGTTTTTTCTCTTCAACACCTGCTCCCCTACACCTCGCTGGAGTTTTTTCATCCTCAGCTGTGTCAGGCTGTGACCCAGCTTTCTCCCTTCAGCTCCACACTGTGAACTTGTCACAATAATTCCACCAAACTGAAATCTACCCTGAATGTGTTACTAGTGGGATACACCGTACCCTTGGCTGCATGTGTGTGCCTTCCCTTGGTTTGAGACCTTCACACGTGTCCCTGAGGAAAGCCTTTGACAAAGAACAGAAGTGACTGATCACTTGAAAGGCATGAGCTTAGTTTTGCAGTCTGAGCTCTCCTGGATGCTAATGAGGGTTGTAAACATGATCAATCACCCAGTGAATTTAATGGAAAGCTGTCTGTCCCAGTCCTTGGTCATAGGTACCTCGTGACCCAGTGCCATCAAAATCTGTAAAAGATCTGCACTAACTTTAAGCCCCAAATGACTAAACCTCTAGACATGTATAAAAAAATATGCCTCTATAGCATTTGCATCTAATCATACCTAGTTACTGTCTAGTAATACTGATAGTGAAAGGTCACTATTCATGAGTATTCACAAAAGCAAAGTTCACATTACATTTCCAATATAAATTATATCTGTTTAGGATGCTGGAACATAGATCTAAATGACGGATCTCTTTTCATTGGATAGATTTATATTCAGGGGAAAAAAAGCTGTTTTTCTTAAGATGGTGGTACTTGCTGGAGACTTCTATCTTTTTTCCTAATGCTTAGACTTTACCCCAGTCACCTTTTGTCTCTCTATCATGGGCATTTTAAGTTTTAAATAGGCAGTGATAGTGCTGTAAATTTATAACATTTCATATAATTTCAAGTCTGTGCCTGCCTGACTACAGCATTTTACATAGTCTATTCAGAGAAGATGCACTAATAGTAACTTAAGACTAAGATAGCGATGGGTCGCAGACCAAAGGGAATTGAAGCAAAGGGGTCTTGTGCTGAGTGTGGAGAATGTTTTTCAGTGAAGTAATAAAAAAGTGAGGAATTCAGTTATATTAACAAAGGCCCAGTTTGGGGCCTTTGTTACCAGAAGTGATAAACTTCTGATTTATTAAATAGTAGTTTAGTTCAGTGCTGTATGGTAGAGAAAGTTTCTGTTAAGAAAGCACTCTATTCTGTGTAAAAGGCAACAGATATTTTCCATCAGTTAGTCCATCCTGCAATCAAGAGTGTCGTCCACCATCACCATAAATTTCTTGAAGTTATTTTTCTTTGCCTTCTCTCCTTAGGGTGTCAGATATCCCACCCTTTGCATAACCTTTCTCTAAAAGCTTTATTTTGAGAGTGTCATGCAGTGTTACTGTTTGAGAGCAAAAAGAGTAGTTGTTCCAGTCTGTAATAAATAAGGCATAGTAGTTTAGTACTTATCAAAGACAGCAGTAGTCATATTGTCTAAGTTGTGTAATAAAGAGCAAGTACTATCATTGCTTTTGTTTACTAAGATACTTCAACAGCTTTGTGCTACAGAAGATGGCTGTAACAGAGCTGAATCAGTGTGCTATACTTAACTATCTCAGCTAAAGATATCTGTCCTATCTGTGTCTTACAGCTGGCTTCTGTGCACAAGCTGGAATGAGGAGGACTTGGCTTTGCTTGTACCCGAAGAAGTATCCAGCATAGAGAGCACTGATAGTTGAAAAAGGATCCACCTACTTTCTAGTCTGACATGCAGTGGCAGAGACCATTATGCCATACAGAGACCATAGAGATAACACAGCAGTTGCAGATGCAATCTCAAAGCGGCCCTGCAGCAATAAGCACTAAATTGGTAGCACTCTTTATCCAGTCTCTTTATAGCACTTGAGTTAAGCTAGCTCTTATACTTACCTATGCAAATAGACTGGCAATGGAGATTTTAATGCTGCTTTTGGCATGAAGAAAAAAAAAAAGGTAGGAGGATACTCTCCACTTACCCTTTCTCAAGTTTGAGAATATCAGCTGTGGATTGTGATATATCTTGTATCATTTGAAGTGGGGGACAGAGCTGAGCTTATCAACTCAGAGCGTGCTGGCAATTCTGCTGAAGCCAGTGGAGTTCATGCCAGCTGAGGATGCAGTCCACTGTATACATCTTAAAAGCCCTGTCTTAATGGCAAAGCCCCAAATCTCTCTAAAATTACTAAACTAAAAGGTACTTTTTTCAGAAAGCAAACAAACTGGAGGCAGTACTTCCACCTGCTGTAAGTAAACGTACTGCTCTGCAGTTAGCAGAGAGTGTTTGTGCAAGTTCAATGTATGATGTGTGGACCCTGCCTGTGACTTAGTTCTTAAAATGGATTTTCACACAGAACCATCATACTTGGAAAATTTCCAGCTTGCAGAATGTGAAGTTAGGCCTGTGACTACATTTTGCAGAGCCCATATTGCACGTTTATTTTTATTGTTTTCCATATATTAGGGACTGCATATACAGACACCTCTGTTTTTTGTCCCATAGATATTTCTTGTTTTCTAGTTAAATTTGCTGTACTTAGTTTAAATGTTTCTTCTAGTGAAAGGCTGTAATAGCATTTCTTTACAGTGGATCTTTATTTTTTTTAACGATCCTGAAATGAGGTGACCAAAACTGAATCATGGATGTAATCATTTGCAGTGAATGCAGCATAATTTATGAACACTTGAACAGCATTTCTCATCTTCAAAGCACTTTACAAATGCTATTAAGAACCTCTTTCCATAATAGATAACTGTTCTCCCTGTTGCAGAGGGAGAGAGAGAAATCAACAGAGGGGACAAGTGACTTGCCCAGGGCCACAGTGCAAACTGGTGAGACTGCCAAACCTAGAAATCAGTTTCTGCACTGACACTTCCTTGAGATCTTTAAGTAGAAATTATCCAGAGTATTACCTTCTGGAATGCACAGCACAGCAGAAGTGTAAATATAACACCATGTTAGGGACCACTCCCATGTGTTTTTTTTGAGCAGGAGATGGACAGCTAATACTGTTCTGATCCCTGAAAGTACAGGTAGGTTGTATGTGACTCTCTTCCCCCAAAACAGATAAGGTAGAGAAATCAAAATGATATAAAGTGGTTGGTATTCACAGAAGGAAAATTCTAGGAAAGCAACCATGATGTGGGATAAAAATGAAGGCAGACATAGCATATGCTGTATAATCAGTGATCTGCTTACAGCCATTAATATCCATCAGATAAACAGGGTCCTCCTCAGAGCTTCTCAGTGGTACTCCACCAAAAAAATTAGTACCACATCAAGATACTATCGTAGATCCTTTTTGTTTTAATGACAGCATTGTTTCCAAACTATGTATCGTGACCACTGAGAAGTTTGGAAGAGGGTTCAAATAAGGTAGAGGAGAGTTTACAGTATCCAGGAGACTGTCACGGGTGAAAACAGTGCAGTTTATCAAGGACAAGGGATATGAATATTTACACAGCTAATAACTATAGCCAGCTCTTCCACTTCTGAACTACCAAGGCTGATGCTGGCAATTAAGGATCATTAGCTTTTCCTAGCTAGTTTAGACAGTGGCTGGTAAATAAAACTGCTTAACTCTCCTCTCTTGAGGTGCCCAAGTTGCTGCCAACTTGTTGGAAAAGCAGGCTGGTTTACAACAAGCAGCGGGTCCAAAACACAACGCGTACTTTTAGAGAAATTAAAAAACCACTGATGTAAAGGATTTCAGCACAAAGATGACATTGTCTCCCTTGCCTCTTCATTATGCAGTTATATGAGGCTTTACAAAATTAACTGTTTCACCACACAAAACTGCCTGGAAAAAGTAAAGCAATTAAGAAGAAGGGGTGTGTGCCCTCACTTCCTCTTCAATGCACACCTCTGCTAGCACTTGGAAGGTGGCAGCAAAGCACGCCTGTTCCACAGTGCCATTGTGTCGGTCCAAAGGAGAACAAGCACGTACACTTTGGGAATGGCTTTGTTATGGTTTGAATTTGCTGTACAAAGTACTTGCTGTTTGCAAAGTATTTCTGGTAGATGCAGCATTTAGCAGTGGCTCTAAGTTTAGGTCAAAACACGTGAAGGATATGAAGTGTGTTTTTGAAGTGCCTAGCACGGTACAAGCTGAGGAAACCAGGTACTAATGTGATTATTAAATATACTTTGATATTATTAAATCAAAATCTTCTAAGTTTGTAACAGTTGCTCTACTTGTATATAAATGCAAAATATTTTGAGAAATAAATAATGAAGTTTGTTTTTTAAAAACTCTCTGTTGTATTTGTAGTTCTTGCTTTGTTTTTTGACAAATGGCCAATGGGCTGACTGGTGGAGGTTCACGTAAACAGAAGCAGCAGCACTATGGTATCTATTTTTTATGGTCATAACGAACAAACAGCAGTGCAGGAAGATGTGCTTTAGCCTCCATCCTGCACATGGGGAGAGGAAAGGATGCTGCTCAGAACATCAGCACCAAGAGGAGATGGGGAATTGCAGAGCAGGGTCAGCGTGGGGGCTTGTGTTGCACCTGTCAGACCAGTGGATCTGCAAGCGCGTTCCTGCCCGTACCCAGGTAGGGCCCAACGCGAGACCGAGGCAGGGTCTGTCCCAGCTGCCCCTGCCAGCACCTCACCTCGCCTGGTGCAGCTTGCAGCGCCTGCTTTACAGAATGAGCTTCTATGAAACAGGAAGAAGGGGCTGGGCCAGGAAGCCCAGTCCCCAGCTCAAAACACTACAACACTGCTCAAGTGTAAACCCTTCCTTTTTAACTCAAAAGCTCTTTGCCTCGGTCCTGTTTGACTCCCATTACTTTATTAACAGCATTAATTCTTGCACGGGTCTCTTACACATATCATTTGCTTTCCAGCCTGGCTCACCCCTAAAATTAGCTTCCTTACAGACCTAATGAACAGTGCAACTTCCTTGCTCTGAATACGGCTTGATCTCACTGAAGACTCTAACAAAGTATACTAATTGTTGAACAAAACCACATAGCCTCTTAGATTAATCTGTGTTCACTCTTTGCCGCACTAATGAGGAACCCTACTAAATTACTTGTCTTAATGTAGTTTTGCTCAGATACAATAGCATCCAGCTTTCAACCAACGCCAGGAAAGGCCAACTAACTAGACAGATGGGGAGCTGTAAGGTACAGTTAACTGTGTACAACTATGGGATGGCTCCCTGTTCTCCAGAACAGTGCTAGAAGGAAGGCAGACCTGAAAACCCTCCTAAAAATCCCTGTCCGTACCTTAATTTGTCCCAGACCTGGCAAGGTAATCCCTCAATCTTTCCGGCCTGAGCAATACAAAGCCGACTGAACCCCAAGCTTGCCTTGTAATAAGTTTACTTTTGCTTCATATCAAGCTACCAAGAAACTTGTCCATTATAAAACAGCAGCCAATTCTGATATTTAATAAAGTATATCAGCTCTCAGAAAATCAGGACAGCTATGGAAAACAAAACAGTAAGTAGGTCTATGCTTGCATGTTCTATTGATTGGTCCTATATTTAATCTCACTAAGGCAAAAAATACAAACAAAACAGCTGTATTTCGTAGCACAAGCCTCTAATCCTGCAGCTCTCAAGTGAAAGACAATTTTAGAAGCTTCACTTCATAAATGACAAGTTTAAATATAAAACCAAATAAAACCACCAGTGAAGTGTCACACACTGTCATCTCAATATTTTTAATTTGCTGCAATGTTTTGGAACAGATGCACATATAAGTACTATAAAATTTACAGGAGAGAAGCTAGAGGCTTTTACCCCACACGGGTAGGGAGTTTGTGCAGCTTTAAGCACATTGATAGCACAAGAGATGTTTGGGATTGTGAAAAGAGGTTTGTAGCAATGTTTCTGCTAAAATTATCCACAGCAGAACACTAGGAACACTTAGCTCTTTAACCAACTCATTAAAACCTGGTGAATAAAGACAGTTCCTGTTTCAGAAATGCTGTTTCAAGCTCCCCACACATGACAAGAGATGACATCTTCTGAACCACAGCCTTTTTTATCTCTGAATATGCCACATCAGATTAGCTGCCTTGCAGGATTTATGTATGACACATGCACATGTATGACATCACGAAAAAGCTGTTACAACCCTGAATTTAATAACAAACCCCCACCCTTAAGCACCTGAAGAACCTTTCAGCCCGCCCCTTTAAAAGGTGTACTTAAGTATAGGTTCTCCCTTAATTGAGATCTGATTTTGGTAAACCCACAATTTTTTGTTTTATTTGTCATCTACTACCACTGCATCTTCATGTTCTCACTGCAGCAGCTTTATTAGGTACTGTCATAATTAGGCACTGCATTGTTTCTTAATCTCTGAATACTACAATACCTAGATCTAGGAGTGCTCTTGTGGATTATGTTCCCAAATGATTTTAAAACACCTCTTTAAACTCTAAGTGGAACTTGCTTCTACCTTCAGAAACCAGAATTATCTTTTCAGGGACACAGATTAAAAAAATCCAGACCTTTAACTCCCTGCTTCCAATTCTACACAAAACCTTAATGGCTCACTCATGAACAACTGTCAACAGGGGGGATAAAATGTATGGAGCAGGATGCCACTGGCAGTGCAGAAGTTAAAGATCTTTAAAGATACTGCAAGCAAACACTGTGTTGTGGATAAGAGATTCTTGATTTATGATTAAATATATTTTGGAACGCAACAGCATTTATAGCAAACTTTTATTCAATAGTTTAAAAAGTGTATGGAAATTTTCACGAACAAAGTTACTCAGTGGAAAATATCTTCTTTTCCCCCTTAAAAAGTTCTTCTGCAAGAACATCCATTAAATGCATTTACCTACAGTAATCAGTTTTAAAATGCACGGGTATTTTTTGATTTCTTGTACACATATATAGTATTACCA